CAGTTTCCTCCTTAAATTCTCCTCCAGTGGGAATAGTCCCTCTTGGCAGGACTGTTGCGAGGATTAACTGAGATTAATGAGGGCAAAGCACTTAGCCCGTGTTGATGGCGTGCGAAAGGGCGCCACGGCTATTATTAATGATCTCCTTTTTACGGGCATTGCTGCTGTCTGGCTGTCTGCCTGTCCCCCTCTTTAGATGGTGACCTTCTGATGGCAGAGAACTTGTCTTCTCCGTTCCCAGTGCCCAGTGGCCCTTGGTACATATTTGTCCAATGAAGTGGATGCATCCATAAAAAGTATGTTCGTTTTTCACACAATCCCACGAGGCAGACAGATCAGGAATCGTCATTCCCACTTTACGGAGAAGCTCCATGTCTGGATCCGGGTCTTTGGCTCCCAGGACCTGTGGGTGCCCAAGATCCAGCCAAGCCCTCTCCTTGGGGGGCTTACAGAGGGAAGAAATCTTCCAACCATCTACAAACCTACACCACCTATAGCTCCCTGTTTTGGACAAAGTTCCAGGACAGCCAGACCAAATGGTTATAAAACACGGAGGGGAGGGAGTTCTCGGAATTCTTGGAAGTTCAACAGAGAAAGTTGAACCTGGACATCTGTGTACTGAAGACGCCCACAGGGCATTCAACTCTCCCCAGCAACAGAACACCCGTAAGCACCCCTTCCGAGGGTTCCAAAAAGGATACTCTGAATTGACAGCAATCACGACCCTTTGCTTAGGTCTTCTGTGTCAGGATGTGTGCCAGGCATGTGGCATCATGGGTGTCCCTGGCTGCAGAGGCAGGCTGGCTGCCTGCCCTGTGAGATGTGCCCGGGGGTCCTGAGGACGCTGCCACCATCCCAGCCCATGGCTGCTCTTGTCCAGCTCCCAGCAGCAGTGTCCAGGGTGACCACTGGCTCACACAGAAGCTTCTGGACTTCTTGCCTCTTCAACACTCCCGCCCCCAAGCCTTTCTTTTCTGCACAAGCCGTCTGGGCATCTGGCTACTTGCATGTCCCCTTTACCCATCACTGTACCCACCACCTTGCTGCCTACTTTCCCTCCTTCCTGGCAGACTTTGCATATTGGTTAAGTGCATTTCTACTCAACTTATGCCCTCATCTCAATGAGTTTGGTGTCCCTGTGGAGCTCACGCACAGCACCTGCCCTCTTGGACGCTGGGTGACTGCCCACCCCCCACTTCCTTGCTCCACCTTCTCTCCATCAAGTGGAACTGCTCCATCTTGAAGGCCACTCACCCAGACACCTGGGGCCCACAGCCTCCCAGCCTTCCAGCTTGCAAAGTGGTTTCTGTAAATGTCCTGTGTCCTGACAGCTGCAGGACTCCAGTCACTCCCTCACTTCAGCCAGTCCGTTCCTAGGGTCTTCATTTCCCATGCCTCCTGGTTCTTCCCTCCTCACGGACCCCCCTCCCCTCCCTGTACCTGGAAGGCTGCTGAGCAAAGGCGCCCGGCTCCACAGATGGGGTCCCCCTAAATTCATCCTCTCCAACCCCGGCTGCCCCAACTCCGTCTTCACAGTCAGCCTGCCCGGTACCCACAGGAAAACCCTTCTCATTGGTCCCTGTCTCCTCCTGCCTCCTCCTCACTCTAGGCATATTGCCTCCCCTGACCCCAGGGGAGAAAACGAAGCTGTCAGATGGCAATGACCTCAGCTTCGTGCCACTAAAGCTGCCCACACCTCAGTCCCCCAGCCTGGCCCGTCTTGTAATGGAGGTGGGGGTTCCTCCAGGCCTTCTCGCCTCTCGGGGACCCTGCTCCATCCCTTATCCCTTCTCTCTCCTGCCTCCTTTCCCTTCCCCTCTGCACCAGCTCCATCTCTGCTCCAGTCTCTTTCCTTGGAACGTCCCCCTCCATGATCAAGTATCGAGCAAATATTCTCCCCCTCTAGCTCCAGACCTCTCCCTCCCCTCCCGGGATACGACTGGAGTTGCCTCCGCTCTCTCACCTGCTCCTCTCCTGTAACTCCCAAGGTCTTCCAGCCTGGCTTCCACTCCCAGATCCCCCCTGAGGCCGCCACCTCTTGGGGACAGGAGGCACCATGAGGTCTCATTTCTCCCTGAAGTCATCTCGCCCAGGGCTTTGGGGACAGCACACAGCCCCGGGGCCTGGGGCCTCCGCCAGCTCCTCCCAGCCTCCTTGCCTGGTTCCTCCTCCTGGACCGCCCACTCACCTGCCTGAACGTCCCCATCCCGGCCCACGGCCGCGATGCTCTATAGCCTGACATGGCCCAGGTCTCTGTCTCCAAGATGCTGGGGTCTCAGGGCCTCAATCCCCGCTTTCCAATGTGGGCTCCGAGCTACTGGGGAGGTAGATTCAGGAGCCAGTCGTAGTCAATGCTAATTTAACTCTGGGTCAAGCTGAAGACTTAACACGGCAGCAAAACATCCAATTCCCTCTTGCTCATCTCATCCAACTGAGCTGACCTCCATCCCCATCCTCGGAGGCGGCCTCCTGCCTGCAGCAGCCAGGCCAGCCTGAAAAGCGAGCTCTGTGGAGGCCGAGGTGGGGAAGAGAAGGGGCAGCGCTGTGTTTCCCAGAGCCCAGCTGGGAAGTAGCCTCCCTGAGCTGCTGTCTCGCTGCGTCCCCACACGGAGTGGGGGAGAGAGCTCTCTGGAGTCCTTCTTACAAGGACGCCAATGCCATCATGCGGGCCCCACCCTCATGACCTCACTGTACCCAGTCACCACCCGAAGGCCCCATTTCTACCCACCACTGCACTGGGGATGAGGGCCTCTGTATATGAATTTGGGGGTGACCCTTCAGTCCACAGCAGTGGGCCTGGAGTTGCGCACAGACAGTCTCTGTGTGCTCACAAAGGTCAGGTGTGGCCGGATGCCCAGTGTCTCCGAGAAGCAGGTGCCCTGGAACCTGCCCATGCCATGAGGACCCTGTGTTTCAGCTGAAGATGACCAGGAGGGCTGTGGCTTCTGACATGTGGATGGGGCTTCAGGGCTTGGACCGGCCCACGAGTGGCCATTAAGGGAGGGAGAGTGACAGGGCAAAGAACACATCATCATCCTCATCCTACAGATGGAGGTTAATGAGGGAGGGGTGCTCGAACCTGAGCCTCGAGGGGCCTGTGCTTAGTAGGTGCTGAGTCCGTGAAGGAAGCAGCTGCAGAGGCAGAGGGACCCGCTAGTCAGTCGGGGGCACTTCCTCTCAGGCCCCGAGAGCACAGAGGTCCTGGACCTCACATGACCTCTTCACTCAGGGAGGCACAGACCTCTGAATATATGCATAACATCTTTCTGTGGCATGGCTGGTAGTGATCCTGGTGCAAATAAACCAGCCGCCAAAGGCATCTGAGGACCCGGGGACACCCTCCATCTCGCTGGTGACACTGCAGCACGACAGGACAGGCACGTGTCCAAGGTGCTCACTCAGGCTCATTGGGGCAAAGCAACTGCTGATGGTGGATGCTTTAACATGGTGGAAATGAACAAGGAAAAAGGAAGGGAAAGAAAAGATGAGGGTGTGTGTGTGAAAAACAGTAATGGCTGTCGAATCTGGAGGATGGACAATGGGGCTCAGACACGCTCCTTTCACTCCCATGTGTCTAAGAGCCGTCACGTCATAAAACAGAAAGGAATGAGAAGCCCTGGGCTCAGAAACTTTTTTGATTCCACTAGCTCTTGATTGAACGATCAGGTGTGCGTTTGGAGCAGCCAGAGGGGTGTTCCCAGGAGGATGTCCCAGGGTCCCCACTACCAAACCCTGGAGGACCTGCATTTGTGGGGGGTGAGGGTGGTGCAGCCCCTGGGAACCCCTGCCCACTGAGCTTTGCTGGGGCGGGGGGGGGGCGGGGGGGGGGGGGGGGGGGGGGGGGGGGGGGGGAGGGGGCCGGGCTGCATGTGCCGCCCCCTCGTGGCCGCCTGCCCATATTGCAGCTGTATGTGATACCAGCCAGGAAGGGACTAGGGAAGCTGGGTCTCTGATGGAGTGGAGCCAGTGGGGACTGTGTTGACAAGTGATGAGAGCAAGACCCTGGCATGGTGGAACTCACTGAATGCTCAGTGCATGCTTATATGGTAGGTCCTCCATCATCCCAACTTTATCCATATGGAGACCAGGCACAGAGAGGTTAAGTATCTTGCTCACACTCACTCAGCCTGGCTCCAGAGCACCTGTGTTCCTCTCTGCACTGACCTGCCTCTGGGGGCTGCCTCCAGAAGGTCACCCAGACGAACTTCTCAAATGAACTCAGGAGGCGTCCTCCTGGGCGAGCACAGAGGAACTGGGAGGCAGCCGTGACAGGGAGCCCGGACCCGGAGAGGGAAGGCTGGCTTTGCCCCCACCTCTGCCCTCCACTGACTAACTCTGCACCTGCTTCCTCACATGGAAACCTGGCGAGCATCCACGGGCCCTACAGGCTGTTGTGAAAGCTCAAGACCACGCCAGGGGAAGGGCTGTGCAAACTGTGAAGCCACACGAACTGGGAGGTATTATCATTTATACCGACTTTATGTTACCGAGTCCCAGGACTGGATTTCCGGATCTATTGGAAAAAACAAACAAATGAGAGATTCGTGCCAGCTCTGGACCAGACTCGTGTCCATCCACGGATGTGGCCATCAACTGGGAAAGGATCGACACTAACTGGGCCCACATTAGGCCCTGGCCAAGGCGATTTCATTCTGCAAATGCTCAGAGCAGCCGGCTTGTGTCTCCTCGGGCCTCCTGAGATGCTTTATTCTGGCTCACACCTGCTCTGATGGCCAGTACTGTGGCATCCACGGACAGAGGAGGAGGCTGAGGTTCAGAGAAGTTAGGCGAACTCACCACTGTCACACAGTTGCGTTTGGGGAGAGGCTGACTCCCCATCTCCTAAACCTCTGGGCACTTGGTCGGGGCGGACACTAACCCAGGAGGCCCTCAGGAGGCGAGGCATTGCGCCATTTTAGGTCTGAAAAGATCTCCCGAGTGGAAAGAGCGAGGGGCAGCACCAGCGTAGGGCACTCTTAGGAAAACAACCAACACAGCCAGACAATAAAATAGCTCTTTTTTTATTCACTTGATTCGGATCATTGGAAATGTTCAACAATAAATAAAACAGAGCAGAGGCCCAGGAAGGCAGACTCTGGGTAACTTCATTCAAAACGCATCCAGCTTAACGCTAGGCTGCAAGACGCGGAGCGAGGACGGGGTCGGGGTGGGGGGGAAGAAAGCAAATTTTCAAACACCAACAACCAACCCAACACGATTGCAAAGAAGAGAAAGTGCTCAGGAAACTTTGGCTTGGACGTGAATTCAGTGACGTGCTAACGCGATTGTGCCCCACAGGCTTCCTACGGGGCGGGGGCTCCTGACACCCCGGGTAGAGCCGGCATCTGGCTCCAGCCATCGGCAGGGGGGCCACGAGTGGCAGTTCTGTACTATGAGAGAAGCTAAGCAATGGGGTCAAGTTCAACAGGAGTACAGACCTCTGATGGGCTGGGAGGGAAAACAGGAGGCGGGAAGCAGACTGGCGGTTTGGAGGAAACGGGGCGCTCTTTTGCTATGAAAAACCTTGCTGATGCCCTGATGTTGACAAACTGAGACGCCCGTCTCTGCTGGTCCTCCGACGTTCCTCTTCGTTTCTTTGCACAGAGGTGTCACGTTGTGCCCCAGGGGCAGGAGAGCTGATGTTTTATCACAAACAAGAGGAGGAAAGCTGATGCCATCTGGAAAACCTGTTAGCCCAGACCACAGGGGAGGATGGCCACAAACCCAGTAAGAGCAGCGAGCTCTTTGGAAAGGCGAGGACAGTGGCTGGTTCCTGGCGGCACGTGGCCAGCATCCAGCCCTCTTTCCCTGGACAGTGGCCACTCAGGGCGTGGCCGTCCCTGGAGAAAGCATTTTCGATCATCCTCACGTGAGGAACCGTGAGTTCTCTCGGTTTTCCATTTTCCTTTGTGTTCAGGCTGCCTTGAAGAGAAGAGTTAAAGCAAACCTCACAGCTCTGAACATTCCCTGGGATTCCATCCCACCCTGGACCAGAGGCCCAGTCCACGTCGAGGTAGAATGAGCCTCTCGCAGCCCCTTCCGGCTGCAGCAGACACTGGGATGCCATCAAGCCTCTCGCTACCAGAACTGCCCTCTCCACCTTCCCGTCTGGCTTCTGTATTTTAGGTCCTATTCTCTTGGCTCTGGCTGCTCCCTCTAGGCCCAGCCCATGTGGCTTGCTGGACGATACCTCACGAAGCCAGAGGTCCAAAAGGCATCAATTTAAGAACGTTCTTCTCTGCTCCCGATGGATCCGGGAGTCAGAGGCTACAAATCCGCCCTCCTTTCTCCCCTAGCAGGTGGGCGAGGGCAGGGCTCCAGGGGGATGTGGGTGCAGGTGCTGGCTTTGCTGCAGGTGGCTCCACCTTAAGAAAATCAGCCTCCTGGCTCACTCGGGGGCCACCGAAGGCTGCGACGCTGCTGGGAGCTCTTGTTGCTGAGACTGTGGGCAGGGACTCTCTGCTCCCTGCCACTGGGTGTGCTGGACAGGGGAAGGCCTGTCCACATCTGTTCTCCTGCCCATGGCACGCCCTGCGGGAAACACTCTTGTCCGATTCTCAGCCACCCTTACCCAGGGATGGGCCCCAGCTGGCTTAAACCAATCGATGCATTTAATCCCAGCCACGGTGACAGCTCTTATTCAGGTGAGTGTCCATTGCCGAGCCAGTGAGACGTCCGCTGGGGCCCGGGCAAAGAGCAGGGTCGTCTCCTCCACCGGAGAGATGGTATGACGTGGCAGGGGCTACAGCTTGCCGGGAGGAAGTGCAGAGCTGAGAGGCAGAGCCAGACACCCACACCCGGTTACAGCTCTTGGAGATGCTGGATGGAGCCCAGCTGGGAAAGCCCACCTCCAGACATTTTCAACACGGAGCCAGTCACATCGTCCTATTGCCAGAACCTATTTGACTTGTGCTGTCTGCCACGATCGGGTCACTCTTCCAAGTCACTTCCCTTCCCGGGGCCACATTTTTCTGCAAAATGGGAGAGCTGGATTCTGCAGGCTGGGAGACATCTCCCAGCATGGACAGCCTAGTGCAAGGGAGGGAGAGACGGGACGGGAACCAGATGGTAGCCCCGGGGGGCGTGCAGCTCCGCCGTGGACAGGTTCTCCCTTTGTGGACCTGCTCTGGCCTGACAAAGCCCAGAAGCAGATTGCTCACTCTGAGCCCGACATCCCTGAACAGACTCAGCTCGCAGGAGAGGGGAAGAACTCAGGAGTCCCCGCTGCTCCCCGTCTCGGTGTCCGTTTTTCTCAAGATGTGTTCCTGGGACCAACCAGCCAGGGCGCAGATGCACGCTGAGTTCCTCCGTCAAGGACGGCCCTGAGCTCTGGGCTCCGAGGATTTATGGTGACCTCATAGCGACTGACAAGCCTTGATCAGTCAAGAGAAGCTTAAGTTTTGACGGATTTTAAAGCCGGCACATTTTTTTTTAAAAAAAAACACTTTCTGGATTCTAAATCTTTGAGAATCTAATAAAAGCTACGGCACCAGTCCCCAGGAAAATGCTCAGATGCACAGACTTGGGGGAAAAAAAGCAGATGTGGCATGCAATATCTGGGGCCCCTTTGATTTGCATGATGCCATCAGTGACCCCTGAGCTCCCATAATTCCTCCCTCCCCATTTGCAGAGGGAGAAACTGAGGCTGGGGAGGGCAGGACTTGCTGGAGCACTTGGGGGAGGGGAGGAGGTGGGCCCCTTGGTTCCGAGACTGACATCTGTCACGTTCCACCAGGAAGCTGTCACCCGTCCCCAAAGCAGCAGTGGCCTTTTAGGAAATGCTCTCAACAGGAACAGGGGCTTTTCTGATTAAATGTCAGTCATGGAGCCAACAATCACTATCCTCCTGTGCCTGTGACTCCACTCCCCACCCGGCCCCAAGCGGGTTCCGCTGAGTTTTGGAGATTCCTAACCTGAGACTTGATCCAAATCGACAATGAGAAAGAAGGAAGGGAGGCTTGAAGGGAAGGGAGTTCAAAGCATTCTGCAAACCAAGCTGACACCCCAGGATCTGCCCCCCAGTGAGCCCCCGGGCCCTAGATACCCCAAAACCCCAAGTCTGAGGATCCCCACAAACCTCACTTTAAGCTCCCCACTCCCCAGCTGCTGGGTGAGGCAAGAGCAAGCTGAATTAAAACACCAGGACCAGCGATGAGCCACAAAGTGCACATGATGTCAGCTGAATTTAAAAAAAAAAATCAATAAATAATCAGGAAGGCTGATGAGGAAGGAAGAGCAGCGGGCAGTGAGAAGATGAGGTATGACATCTCCTGCTCTGACGGCCACCTTCCTACGACGGCCCCACGACCGCCAGGACACTGCGCAGGTGGCCAGCAGGCACTTGGCCCGAAGCTCGGGCCCTTGGGGGAAATGCGGGCTGCTGGAGGTGCTCTGGGTGGCCTCGGAAGGGCGCCGACTCCAACAGTCTGTGAAATGAGAGTGACCTTCCAGACACGGCGAGTATCCTCCGAGCTTTGTTCCAACTCAGGCTCTGGCTCGGGAAACGAGGAAAGATGCCCCCAGCTATGGAGCCATGGGGGGCTGTTGCTGGGGGTCCTCTTTCCTGAGTGGGGGCTTGTGCCTCATTTCAGCCAATGCGTGCATCTCTCCCCCCAATACAAAGGCACGTAGAAATAGTCAGGCCTGCTCTCAGCCGTAAGTATAACCACAAAGATTGATTACTCGAGGGAATGTCAGCATGGGAAGACATCTGCTGGAGTCAGAAACACCTTGCCAAGGGTCTACGAAGACGTTCGGGGTGGGGTGCCGCTCCTGGCCACCATAAATAAGTTTCGGGAAGAAAGGGGAGACAGGGTTGTCACGCCAAGGGAGAGAGAGGGCAGGCATCGTACAAAGAAAGGTGTCACCTCGCGCCAGTGCCTACGTTGCCCAACGTGGCTCTGTCCTGGAGGTGGTCCTCACTCAGAAACATCCCTGTGAGAATCTGAGTGTCAGCCAGGACCATCGCCCCTGGGAAGCCGTCCTTTCCTTTGGAATATGAGAGTCTTCCATCTCTGCACCCCCCGATCCCTCAGCGTTTGGAGACTAGACCTCTCCATCTTTCTCCCCGCCTCCCCCAGCCCGGGACGGCAGCAAGGGGCTTCTCCCCTCCCGAGACCAGTTCTGAGACTTGCTCTGTAGCCCTGGTGGGGCCCGGCGACCTTGCTGAGTAGATGCTGCCAAATGTCGGGGTGCAAGAGGCTGCAAGGGGCACCCAGGCACACCCCTGAGGCTGGCCCTTGAAGTTCCCGGGACGGGACGGCTCCGGCGAGAGGCTGGGGCTGGCCCTCGAGAGGCGCGCTCTGGTGTGTCAGCAGTGTCATCTCCCCTTGAATATTCGGATCTTGTCAATGGACGCCAAGGTGGCCGTCACGTTGGACTCGAAGTCCCCATCGTGCACCCCAGTCTTGCGAAAAGCCCCCGCCGATGGGTTGTTCTCCCAGTAATGGTGCCAGTTCCCTCTGCTGTCTGCCCCGAAGCCGTACAAGTCCACCTGCAGGGCAGAGCGACGGTGAGATCCAGACAGAGGACCGCACGCAGAACCTCTAAGAAAGGAGCCTGCGGGCCTGCCCGAATCTGTAATTGCCACCCCCAGGGACCCCTACAGACTGACCCTTCTCTAGGGTCCTGGGATGCCCAGTGGCTTAGTGAGGCCAAAGCGAGTTAAGTAAAAGTGTGCTCCAGTGCCAGAAAGCACAGTGGGAGGCTGCTGCATGTGGGTGGCCCTGAGGGTGCTGGGTCTAGCCTCTGGGGCAGGGACGACCTCTTCTCCAAGGCTTGAGGGGCTAGGGAGGGAGGGAGGGGGTGGAGTGGATGGCAGGGCGGTGAAGCCCAGCAGGCCGGCCCGATCCTGGCCCTGCCACTTGCTGTAGACCCCGCGGGTGCCGCCAAAGCGCTTCTCTGAGCCTCGCTTTCCTCGTCTGGAAAATGGGGCCAAGAGTACCCACCACCGTGGGGCAGGTGCCAGGTGCTCAGCTCTTCTTTGCTTAGGCTAACATGCTTCTGGTCCAGGGGCCCCACTGGCCACTGGGCGAAGGGCCTTCCTTACACATGACAAGCCTTTACGGAGCACTCAGTCTGTGCCAAGCACTGGCTGAACACGTCAGAGTGCAGGCTGACCTTCGTCAGGCACCACCGGTGGCAAATTAGGGGTCGCATCTCAGCCCTGGGTGCTTACAACTCACGACAAGCACAGTGGTCTATGAGGGCCAGGGGCTAATGTCAGGGCTCCCGCAGCACGGAAGAGGGAGGGGCCGATGACCGGAGCGGTCAGAGAGAGCTCGTCCGGGCAGGTGACATTTGAATTGGGTCTGGGAAAATGAGCAGAAGAGGCCAAGAAGACACACGGGAGGGGCTGTCAGGGTGAGGGAATGTGACCTAGGCTGCTGAGCGGGGGCACCTACAGGGGCCGAAGACAGCTCTGTGGCAGGGGCAGCCTTTGCAGTCAAGGTCAGCATGGACACGGGCCCGCCCCAGAGCAGGAAGGAAGAGACGGGAGCAGGGTTTCTGAGGCAGAACCCCACGCGTCTGTGACCAGCAGGCTGGGGGTGGGGGTGGAGACGATAGGGAGATATGGTTTCTGGGACGGATGCCCAGGTTTCTGGCTGAAGAGACGGGGGGCTGGTGACAGAACAACCGAGGCAGAGGGGATGGGCTTGCATTGCCACCGTCTGGACCTCTCCCTGAGATGTCCAACCATGAGCCAGGAGGGGGGCTGCATGTGACAAGAAGGGACATTGCGTGCCCCCCTGAACCCCGAGCCAGGGAGGAAGGGGGGGTGGGCACTGTGGCCCCCCTCCTGCCCCTCTGGCCAGGGTGGCAGCAAGCACCCCAGGTCATGGATGGACACCGGGCACAGGCTGGTGGATGGTTAGGCCAGTGCATGATGGGAAGTGCCTGCTTGCCAAGACCACAGGTTCTCAATCTCGCTGAATACTGGAACCCCTGGGGCACAGCTCCTACTCTCAGAAATCCTGGTGAAAGTGGGCTACGGTGTGGCCTGGGTGCCGGGGTTCGGTGCCATAGATGATGCAAATGAACACCCGCGTCCAACCTGCAGCCTTGACAGCTTCCCTACGACAGTCTCCTCCTTTATTTTGCCCCCAGATCTGAGCTGCCACCCCTTGGTCCTGGCTCTGCCTTGGGAGCTCACACAGAATGAGCCAGAACTCTTGCTCCCGAGAACATTCTCCTAGAACCCTGCTGCTCCTTCTAACACCCGATGAGAGAGGCCTTGGAGGCCCCTCTGCAGAGATAAGGAATCTGAGCTTCTGGAAGAGACAGGCTAGGCTGGGGCCTGGAGAGAGGTCTGAGGTCAGCCTGACTCCCACGCCCTCAGCCCTGTCTTGCGATCATGCAATGAGGAGCTCTCGTCCCCCAGCGGCCGGGCGGGCACAGGGGAGAGGGCGGCCCACCTCGTCACAGATGTGCAGGGAGAAGATGACCGAGAGGATGCCGGTGGACGGGTACCGCCCGTGGCCCTGCAGCCAGTTGTCGAAGACGTACTTGATGAAGGCCGGGTGGTATATCAGGATCTGTGGGAGGGGAGGGTGGCCCACAATGAGGCGGTTGGCAAAGGATATCCAGCCCCGAGCCCTCGTTAGGTGCCACACACTGCTGTGGGCACGGGGGACCCAGCAGTGAGCAGAACCGAAAAATGGCCCCGCCTTGTAGGGCTTATGTTATTGGGAGAAAAGATGAGTAGTAACCTTAATCATGAAGACAGAGGATGCTGGAAAAGAACAAAGAGCAAAGAAAGGGGATAAAGCCTGGGGTGAGAAGGTGACATCTGAACAACCACCAAATGAGGCCAGGAAGCCAGACAGGAGGCTGCACATGGAGGTTCCAGGGAACAGCATGAAGTGGGGACAAGGATACTCCTGTCACACACATGCACTGAGCCACCTGTCCTCCCTGATACAGGCCTGAATGACCTTCAGTCCTTAAAAATGACCCTATGTGCTACCTTTCCCTCTCCTTGTGTTACAGATGAGGAAACCGAGGCTCAGAGAGGCTAGGTAACGTGCTCAATGTCACACAGCCTGTGAAGACTGAGCTGGGAGGTGTGCTGGTGCCAGGCCTGGTCTTGGTTCCACCGCCCACAGCTGCCTGAGGACAGTGAAGGGGACTTCTCAGGCAGCAGAGGGCGTATATGTCCAGAAGTCTAGGAAGGGACCTGAGCAGGGGATCATACAGGTCTCTCCCAGTTCCTTTCTGAGCCCGGCCTCCAGCTAGTGCATCTCTGGGAGACTCTCCCTTCCACCAGCCCCGCCCTATAGATTCACATGCCGCTTCTTCCCCATGGCTGCACAGCACCATGCAAGAGGCAGCTGCTGGAGGCATGGGGAGAACTTCAGTTCCACCCATATGGAGAACTGCTGTGTGTCCCTGAGCAACTTACTTGACCTCTCTGACCTGATCTCCCCATCTAAGTATGATAGTGTGTGCAAAGGACCAGTGTAGCGGACACTTCACTTCCTTCATCCTTCTGCCCTTTGCCCATGCCTTGGCCAATCCCATACCAGGGCCCGCTGGGGAAGATGGAGATAAGGAGACACAGGAGGCAAGGTCTGGCTTTGAGAAGCTCACACCAGAGCAGCGGGTCTCAAACTGCGGCCAGCGTCAGCATCCCGGGAGGGCATGGAAAAGCCCAGGGCTTCTGATTCAGCGGGTCTGGGGTGGACTGGAGGATCTTCATGTATACAAGCTCCCGGGGGATGCAGCTGCTCTGGGGTCCCCACCTGGAGAAACTTTCCCCGTATGGGATTCCCCCCAGCAGGGAAGCTCAGTGGGGGCTACCTTCCGCCAGCCTGGGGGCTCGGGGCTCCCCACAGCCGGACGCCAGCGAGAGGGGAGAGATAGCACTCTCTGTCATCGCGCGGACCCTTACAAATGTGCCTGAGCTCAGGGGACAAGGGCTTGAGCCGGGACTCACCTTGTCCTGTTTCACCTTGATCTTCGCGGGCACAGGCACGTAGGTGCTGCAGGAGGAGAGGAGCAGGTGGTCAGGTGGGGAGGGGCCTGCATGCCCCTGTGGGGTGTCGCCAAGACGGGGTGGGGCAGCTGGGGAGGCCCCTCGTTTTCCCTGGGAAACCTCCTCCCGCAGCAGCCACCCTTTATAGCCACCAGAGGGCGGTCTCGGCTAATTCCAGGACTTTCCGCCGCTTGAGGCCCCTTCTCCCAGCAAAGTGAAGAAAGGGACACTGGCCCCCCGTCCTCTGCACAGCCTGAAGGAGCGCAGCAAGGCCAGAGCCCCAGCCCCACTGCCGGGTGCGGGCTCACGAGACCCCCTGGGCCCCCTTTTCGTCTGCAAGGTCATACACCCTCACCGAGGTGAAGGCGTGAGTGCCCGGCCACCTGGCCTCATGTAGGATCTAGTCGGGGCAGTTCACGCCCCCCAGTTGGGGGGACTGGGCAGGGGAGGGGCGCCGAGCCCAGGCCCCGCCCCACTCCTCCTCCGCCCCACCTGCTTCCCTCACTGCCCCTCCCGAGAGCACAGCCCCCCAGCTTCCTGTGCCCCCATCCCTCAGGCTGCCTAACAAGGAGGCTTGGGGCCACTTCTCTTCAGGAAGAGTAAGGGCTCAGGAATCGGCCCCGGGGGTGAGCCTGGCTCTGTGCAGTTCCCCTGGGGAAGGACAGGCCTCAGGGTCCTCCCTGGGAGAATGGGGGCAACAGTGGCCATCGGGAGAATGAGCGACCACACGTGCTGACGCCGAGAGGGGTGCCCCGGACACGGCGGGCGCTCAGGAGACGCGAGGCCCCCTCCAGGCGGCACAGGGAGATGCGGAGCTCACGGCCTCCATGCCCCGGCCCCCGCCTGCCCCGGCCCACGCAGGGCCATCTGGACGGTTTGAAGGCAGGCGGCTGTCCTCAGTGGGGAGCACTGCAGAGACGAGGAAGGGGTCAGAACCCAGATGTGCTGAGTCCTTTCTGGGGAGCCCCCCTCCCGAGCAGTTTCTAGGGTTTGGGGAAGCACAAATTGGAGGTCTGCTCGGGAGTCATCGGGGGAGGAAGGCAGATGCTCAGATGTGCTAAGAGAAATGGAGGAAAGGGGCCAGGCAGAGGCGGAGGGTGGGGAGGCGCCCATCACTCCAGGAGGAAGCCGGGAGGAGCAGGGGCTGTGGGGGGAGCAGGGAACCATACGGCAGGGGCGGGAGGCATCGCACAGGGAGCAGGGGCAGCCACAGGCAAGTCAATGGAGCATCCATCCAGATGCCCCCAGGGGACTTACTGGGAGATGGTGCCCGTGGTGGTGGCGCTGACCACCCACTCCAGGTCGGTGGTCTTGAAGGGAACCAGGACCATGCTGACGTTCTCCCCCAGCTCCCGGAAGCTCTCAGGGTACACGAGGTGGTGGGTGGTCTTGCTCCCCACGTAGGCCTCAAACCCCGCTGTGGGGGCCTTGTTCATCCTGGGAGGAGATGAGAGAGAAGGACACGCCTTGCATCGCCTGGCACCTTTAGCTCCGCAGCCTGCGGGGTGCCTCAGGTGCGGTCCCTACTCCACCAGGCCCCATTTCCTCGTCTGTACAATGGAGGCAATCTGGCACGAGTTCAAAGGCTTTCCAGTTTATGATGTCAAGCGAGCCTAACCACGGCCACCACCGAGACCTACTATGTGCAAAGCACTGCTGTGGCCAAGTGACACGTCTCATTAAACCTTATTGATAACTGAGTCCAGTAGGTATTTTATGGTCGAAGGAATCTGAGCACAAAGAATTTGTCCCGGGATAAACAGCTACTGAGTGGCAGCTTTGACCTCAGGTCTGTCTGACCCCAAACCTGACTCTTTCCAGTCACCGTGGCATTCCCACTGGACACCAGGCACACTGAGACTCCGAGAGGCCAGGGGAGTGGTCTGAGGACATAAAGTCAGAGATCCCAGAAACAGGAGACCATTCGAGAAGGCGTCCAGGGGGTCGTCAGCCCCACGGCCGCTCGTCCTTCTCACGCTAGGGCACTCGGGCCCCTGAGTCGGGTAAGTGGTGTGGTAGAGATGACAAGGAACCCCGGAGAGACGTGGGACATCGTCCCGGAATATCTACTTTACTGAGTGACAGGGAAATAGGTTTTAGGTTAAAAGTGTACAGTTATATTATGGCCTAGATTGTGATATGGGGATGAACTTTAAAGAGGAAGCAAGAGTCTTCGAATTAATCTTGCCCTCTCGCCCGGCCTCTCGATGCCAAGCATCTGGCCCACTGGGTACCTCCCATGCGTGGCTTCCTCTCTGCTAGTCCGTCTCCATCCTGCAATGCACGGAGAGGGAGACTGAGGCACAGAGGGGCACTGAGGGGCCTGGGGTCCCCGGGTAAGTCTGGGCTCACCAGGACTGGGACCTTGACCTTCTGACCCTGAGCCAAGATGTCTGCTGCGACGCCAAGGGGCCCCTGGGCGCAGCGTGGTGAGCTTGGGACGAGGGTGCGGGCACTCACCTGAGCACGAAGTCGTGACTGTCTATCTGCGGCCCGTACGACGACTCCTTCAGGTTGCCTGAGTTGCCCACGACGGCACAGCGCCGGCAGCCCACCGACCTCTTCCCCAGCAGGGGGTCCACATTCCCAGGCACCACTCGGAACAGCTCCTTGATGGTGTCGTTGAGGTTACTGGGCTCCTTCTCCCGCTGGAGCCTCTGTGGGCACAAGATGGAAGGGGACAGGTCAGCCTGGCTGTGCTCCCTCTGGCTGGGGAGGCTCTGCCACCCTGCTGCTGGGCCCTGAGCCCCCATCTCTTGCTCACTGGGCTCCTCCTGTGTACCCTTCTCTGTGCTGGGCACCTGGAGGTGGAGGAGGCTCCGACAGCCACCTCCCCTTGCAGGATCACTCAGGGAGATGGGAAGGAAAGGGACCATTCATTCATTCTGCAAAGGTTTACTGAGCACCTATTACATGCTAGGGACGGCTCCGGCCACTTGAGATAATCAGCCTGGCTGATCTGAGTAAGACACGTGAGAGAAGGGTCAGGTGACACTCCGTGCCTTCCTCCCCTGCCTCTGCTCCCCTCACCCTCCCGCCCCTTGGCTCCGCCAGCCCCAGGAGCACTGGGCTCCAGCCGCAGAATCAGCCCTGTGCTGGATGCATCAAGGCCTCCGATGTCTGCCTAGCAAATTGTCTTCATCCTCTAAGACCCAGCTGCAGGGGCAGTTGCCCCAGGACCTCCCTGACGCCCGGCAGGGGCGAAGGCTGGTTTTATCCTGAAAGTGACCAGCCATTTTGGTTGGCCTAGGTCGGAGGGGTTTCCCTGGAGGCAGGACTTCCGGTGCTAAAAGGGAGATGAGTCAGTCACCCTAGTGACACCCTCCTTGGACACGCCCTCCCACTGCGTCAGGTGGAGCTCGGCCATATGGCACAGTGACGCCTGGTGACGCAGCTCACTTCCCTATTCAGAGTGAAACCTGGAGAGACTTCCTAAGAAGTCCTCCGTCTGACTCTGTCACCACACCACAGTGTTGTGTCACTTCAACTGTACATGAGGAAGGCCCACACTGGTGGAGCCAGGTGTCCCAAATCCAAACCAGGATCTGAACCCAGGCTTTTAGAAACCTGCCTTAAAGCTTCTCCCACAATACCACCCCTGACCCAGATTCCTGGACCCTTGACCTTCGGAAAGCCCCATCCGGGGTTTGGAGGTAGGGAGGTGGCTATAGGGAGTCCCACCACTCACTCCCAGCTCCAGGGACAGGGGAGTGGCTCGGAGAGAAAGAAGAGGCTAGCATTTGCTTTGGCCATTGTCTAGGAGATTAGTGACCAGAGTGTGTGTAGGGAGATCCCGGGGCATCCGGTCCCCACCTGGGATGGAAGGAATCAGGGTCCCCAAAGCAGAGGCACACCAAGGAGACCCGGATGGCTCCTCTCGTTAAAACCGTCTAGCATCTCCTCTAGCATAAGACACTGCACCTGCCACGGGGAAGCCGCAGGCAACAACATCAGGACCACAGACAAGACTTCGCACCGGGATGGTTAGAATGAAAAAAAGGGAAAAGAACACGTGTTGGTGCGGACGTGGAGGATCTGGAAGCCTCGTGCGTTGCTGGTGGGAATGTAAAATGGCGTGGCCACTGGGGAAAACAGTTTGATGGGTTCTCAAAAGGTGAAACATAGAACTACCATATGACCCAGGATTTCCACCCCTAAGCATTAAGCACCCATGTTCACAGCAACATTATTCCCAACAGCCAAAAGAAAGGTCAAAGCACCCAAGTGTCCATTGAGGGATGAAGGGATAAACAGAATGTAGAACGTACGTACAATGGGATATCAGTCACTCATCAAAAAGAAGGGCATCTGGATCTCTGCTACAAGTGATGGACCATATGCTCAGCGAAATAAGCCCAACACAGAAGGATAACTATTGCACGATTCCACTTAGATGGTGTAGCTGGAATCGTCAAATTTATCGACACAGAAGCTAAAATGGAGGTTGCCAGGGGCTGGGCGGAGTGGTCAGGGGGAGACAGGGTTTACTGGGTGTGGGGTTTTTGTTGGGGTCGATGAAAAAATACTGAGTACAGATAGTGGTGATGGTTACACAACAGGGTGAAATGTATTTAATGCCACTGTTTCTTCTTCTCACCCAAACCCCCCAGTACGTAGTTGTATATTCTAGTTGCAAGTCCTTTTGGTTGTGACATGTGGGACGCCGCCTCGGCATGGCCCGATGAGTGGTGCTGTGTCTGTGCCCGGGATCCAAACCTGCAAAACCCTGGGCCACAGAAGCAGAGCGCACAAACTTAACCACTTGGCCACGGGGCCGGCCCCCAGCATGTGCTTCTGTAGGATCTCCTGGGGCTGCTCCACGCTCCTGAATGCGTGACCACCCAGGATCTTGCTAAGGGGTGGACCTGACTCAGTGAGGCTTGGCTGGGCCCAAGGTTCTGCATCTCTAACAGCACCCAGGCCACGTGGCTGCTGGTGGTTCAGGGACGAACTCCTCTGTGAACCCCTGGGGCCCACGGCCGTAGCCAAGCCAAGCTCCTCTGCAGGAAACTCCTGGAGTTCCCTGCCCAGGAAGGCCCCTGTGCACCCCAACATTGTGAAGACGTGCTCAGGACCAGAGAAAGCCCTCCGTTTGTGTCATCACCTCAGGAGAGCGTGACCCGGTATGGTGGATCAAGGAGTGACATGGCATTCTTTCATCCAGTGCCCGACAAGCTTTACTGTGCACCTACTATGTGACAGGTGTGCATGCTTTGCCTCAGAGGCCCGGGGGCTGGAGGACTCAAGGCTGGCAAGATGCATGTGTTGGGAGCACAGCACAGCATCAACTTGCTGCCTGGCCCGGCGATTATTGACTTTCTCTTCTTTAGTGACTCACTTTAGAAAAAAAAGTTAAGTTTATTTTCAAAGGAAATTCACATCTCTACCACTAGTGGAAAGTAAGGGTTACCTGGCAGAAGTAAAAAAATAATTGTATGACACGATGAAAACAAAACGACGCTACTTGATCCCAGCTCCATCCTGTTGCTCGCGCCGGCGAGCAGACCTCTCTGTCGGCAGGAAGATTGACAGGTGTTAGAGAGGAGCACAGTGAAACATCGGGCCCAATTAAAATCCTTGCGCCGCAAAGATGGAAAGAGAATGAAGGCCTGAATTACTTCCTTGCTTGTGATGCGATGTTCCAGAATGACCTGCCCTCGTATCACCTAGAATCACACTGTGGGCCACACGCTTCGGAGTCTTCGATCTGTTCCGGTCCTTTGTTGGCAGAAGGGGAGCCTGAGGCCCAGAGCAAGGGTCTGGGCCACGGGGTGAGCACATCAACACATCAACCCATGGCAGAGCCCAGTACAACATGGGTGGGAAAACTGAGTTGTGTGTCTGCGGCTTAGAATCCCAGAGCATCACTCACCAGCCAGGGTAGCAGGGGCAGGTCAATGCTATGTCCCTGTCTCCCCTGGGAAGGAAAAGTCTGATTTCTCTGCCTTTTGTAAATGACAGTGAAGGTCCTACAGGCCGGCTGAGGCTGACACACACACAGGAGAGAAAGGTGACAAGTTCTAAGATGCCCTCTCTCCCTCAGTCTTCCTGACTAGTTTCCAGGGATGTTTCTTTGTGTACAATCGGCGCTCAACAAGGGCCTGCCGACTGGCCCTCCGGGCTCCTTGAGGAAGCAGCATCTTAGGGCAGCACTTGGAAGCAGAGGCCGAGACAGGGATGCAGGCACACGGGGCGGCGCTGTCTGCAGAGGGATGGGGGGAGCGGGAGAGGGAGGCGGTCTCCATCATGTCAGCAGGCTGGGACCAGCGGGAGGCGAGTGGGGCGTCGGGGCGCCCAGTTTACGGAGGAGGCATGCTGGAGCTCAGAGCACGGCCCGGGAGAGGGCGCTTCACTCCTGCACCTGCTCTTCCACCCGATCCCACGGGAGCTCTGAGGTGAGAACTGGAGCACAGACTCTGTTCCGCCTTGAGGCATGATGGCTGGCCTTCCATACCCCATGTTGGGCCCCCTGAGCGTGCTGGCGAGAGGTTCGCTCTCCTTCCCGCCCTCCCTTCCTTCTCTGCCTGGTGAACTTGCTCCTCCTGGGCCAGCTCGCAATGCAGCATCTTCTGGGGGGCCTTACCCATGTATTTAGGACCACTGGCCCCTCATCACGGGCCTTATTATGATCCAGATGCTGGTGGCTTGTGTGTCTGGCCCCCTCAACATGGGAACAGCAAGCACAGGCATAACACACAGTATCTGCTCGACAAATGTTTGCTGAATGAATGAGTGACCTCTGCCAGGGTTTACACCATTCGTTCATTCATTCATTCTACCCATCACCACTGGGCCCCCATCAGGTGCCAGGCGCTGTGTGGGGCGGGCAAGTCAGAGCTGGGCAGCAGTTGCTTAGGGAGCACTTGTGCTGGGCGTTGAGAACTGGTCACAGGTGGAAGCCGGCCTTCTGTGGTTCTTACATGCCAGGCCCTGTGCCAAGAGCTTTAGAGGCATTTTCTCATTTATTTCCCATGACTGTCCTATGAGATGCGTGGTGTCAGGTACCCATCTTACAGATGAGAGGACTGAGGCTTGGAGAGGTGAAGTGGATTGGGAGGGCCCCCAAGACAGTTTGCATACTGCAGCCTGACTCCAGAGTGTGTCCTTTAACTAGAATGTGATCCGAACGTGCCCCGCCCCAGCCAGGTGAGCCTGGGAAGAGCAAAATGGAGGTGATGAAATATTCACGTCCCCTTGGGGGTGTGGGGAAGGCGAGGGAGCAGGGCCTGGAAAGCTTGGCCAGGACCTGGCCAGAAGTGGCACTTGGCATTGGATGGGAGCCCACATTGCACACTTCTGCACTGAGCATGGATGTTGGGGGGGAAGATGCCCCTTGTCGGGGGACAGACAGAGACCAGGGACAGGAGGCCACAGGCTGCCTCTGCCTTCAGAATGCTCCCCTGGGCACCATCACCTGCTTCCTGAGTTTGAGTAAATAGACAGGAGGATTCGACAGGCTATGTGGCTTGTCTCACATCGGGGGAAGAAGGGACCCTCGTCCTGGTGTCTGGGACAGAGACTGGAGGCGAAGGCCACCGGGTCGGCAGGCTGATGGAGGGCGGTGGGTCCAGCCAGGGACGGGCCCTTTCCCGAAGCCACGTGGCCCGATGCCTTCAGTCTCCTGGCTTGCGGGGCATGTGGGTAATTTGTAAACTGACCCGGGAGTGATTGCTCCCATCTTCTTATTCCTGCTAGAGCTTTCATCTGCTCTGTCTCCTTCGCTAACCGGGATACTGACGCCCATCGGCCAACGGGGAATATGAAGCTTAGAGGCAGGACGGGAGCTCGGGACCCCACAGTTCTCACCTAACACTCCTTCAGGCCCACTGGGTCGGCTGTGGGCCCCGAATCTCATGCCTTCCTGTTTCCCGAAACCCTGAGGAAGGAGGGATGAAGGTTCCATTGGCCTGGCTCAGCCAGACAGACAGAGACACTGGGCTCTGTGAAAATGGAGGCAGAAACTGGAGGGATGCGTCCAAAAGCCAAGGAACTCGAAGGACTGCCACAACCCTCAGGAGCTAGGAGACACATGGGACAGACTCTCTTTCGGAGCCTCCGGGAGGAACCAACCCCGCCAACACCTTGATTTCAGACTCTGCCCCCAGATCTGTGAGAGAATACATGTCTGTTGTTATCAGTCACCCAGTTTGTGATGATCCATTACAAGAGACACAGGAAACGAATACAGATCCCCCTGCTCTGACTTACATATAGAAGCTCCTCAATAAATAGTTGTTGAATGAATGAATGACCGGTATTCTGAATCCTGCTACGCGCCTGGCAGGGCCCCAGGTGCACACTGGGGCCCGAGCGTTTTGCAGCCGGGATCCGCCCCCCTACTCGCCCTCAGCCCCACCCTCAGCCCCAGCTCTCACCAGCCACCAGTTATAGGCGTCTTCCTCCAGGAAGGCGTTCTGCACTGTCAGCAACGGCTGCATGGACCGGTTGAACCTCTCATCGAACCAGGACGAGACCTTCTGCTGGCCGATGCAGCGGGCGCAGCTGCAGGGCCTGTGGGAATACTGTACCAGCTTCTTGAAGTTCTCCGAGAGCTCGAGGACCATCTGCTTGGGGAACCAGGCGGTGGTCACCACGGTGTGGGAGTAGTTCAGGAAGAAGGAGGTGAGGAAGATGAAGAGGATGAGGAGGGTGAGCACTTTGAGGATCCTTCTCCTGTGGGTCGCCATTTCTGCTTCCCTGCTGGGGGCCTCCCGGGGATGGGCTGGAGGAAATCACAACTAACTGAGGACGGACTATGCAGAAGGATCTCAGAGAGAGAGGCTCGATCCCAAGGTAAGGTGGGGCTGCGTGGGGGCCTCAAGGTCTGCCACGGCCGACTTCCCTTCCGCTGATGTGTCGACGACACCCCGAGACAGTCAAAGGCTGAGGGGACCACTCATGTGGGCTGGCTTTTCCTGTGTATAATTTGTCTTTTCAGGAAATAAAGGAGCCTGCTTCGTTAGCAATCCTTCAACAGCCTCTTGATGAAGCTTTAATCAAACTTAACAGTGATTTCCTTTCTCATCCAAAGAGGCTGAGGGGTAATTAATCTTTGTGACAGTCCAGGGTCCCTTGGGGGTGAGGACCTCGAAGGGAGGGTCACAGCGCAGGATAAAGGGAAGCTGTCTTGGCCACCGTCCTCCGGAAAGGATGGCGTGTGATGCCCCTTAATTAGAACTCGGTCTTTCCGATGCTGTCACCAGAGATGTGGCGGTTACACAGCCGGCTTGATGAAGGCACTGAGGGTTGTCTGTCATCTGCATGGAAAAGGAGGAAGAAAACAGGATGACATTCTATTACCTTGTTATAAAAAAATATTTCTCTCTCCCCACCTCCTCCAGGCTGAATTCCATTATCTTCCATTCCATGGTCAAGCAGACGTGGTGGGCAATCTCTATGCCCTCTGGAGCCTCGGCGTGTGCTTGCAAACAATGGGATGTTAGCGTCTATTCTGCAAGGTTGCTAAGGCACACGGGTGTCCCACCCATCTTTCCTGCAGCCAGAACCTAGGACATTTAAGCATTCAGCCAAAGTGCGTGAACTGAGTCAACGATGCGCACGGAGCACTGCCCACCGACTGCTAATACAGGCCGCTTTTCCTCACCTTCACTCTTTTGGATTCTGAATTTCAACAAGAAACATGGTGTGCATGGTACCTGGCCCAGGCCGTCCACTTACCCTGGCATTCAGGCTCTGCCCATCAGCCTCGGTCCCACAGAGTGGGCTTCAGAGGGCCCGGGTTCAAGTTCTGGTTTACCAGCTGTGTGGCCTTGGGAAAGTTCCTCAACCTTCCTGACCTTCAGTTTCCTTTTCTGTAAAATGGGATGATCATATCCCCACTTACAGAATGGCTATGAAGATAAGATAAACTGAGATATGCTGAGCTTCCGGTATCTGTTAGGCAATTGCAAAACCTTAATTTTCCTTTTTCAGTGTACTGAATGAATGAATGTTCTTGGATGATCCACGAAAAGCCGGACACGATCGTACATTCCTAATTATCTATTTCCTTAGATAATCCTCAAAGTATATTGCCAGCTAGATAGAGAGTTCCCATTTTGCCCTTGGAAGAAACTGAGATTTCAATGACTTGCCCACGGTCATGGGGAAGGAGGAGGCGGAATGTGGACGCACGCCTGCAATGCTCTGATTCCGTGCTCCTGGAGGCACGGGGCACCAGGAAGGGGGGAAGGGCTGTGCTCTGGAAGTGACTTCCGTCTGTGAACTGGTCTTAGGATGACCATAGTTGGAGGGATACAGAGAAAGGGAGTATATTGAATCAAACAGAGGAGGCGGGGGCTCCTCAGACGCTCATAACACAAGTCCCCAGACGTTCCTGATTTCTCGGGCCTTCTGTGCAATTGTGGTCACCCCTCTGCCCCGGAGCCCGTGACTCCGGTCTTTGCAAGGAACGTGCCCCCATCTCTACCTATCTGATCAGTTCCTCCCCATCCTCAACATGCAGGTTGTCAACGAGCAGGACATATTTTTTCCAGGAAAGTGGCAGCTGATGGGAGATTGATTACCTTTTGGTAGAAAGAGGGGCAGCTGGAAAATCAGATTAAATCCACGGCGCCATCTTGGCGACCTCTAGGGCTCAAGACATGCTTGGTGCAACCCCCTGCAGCTTCCTTGGCTCCGGGGGCGAGGTCATTTTGATTTGCCCACTGCTCCATTTTTCACTTTTCACACTAGCCTGGCTTGTGTTTAGAACCTACTGGTGTCCACAGCTGTCCCTTCCAGCCGCCCCTGCCCCTCTATCCAAAGCAGCTCTGGCATTTGAGTTCCATTAACTTGCCTGTCTTCAAGGGCAGGCTCTGATTTAATTTGGCCTGCACAGTGTTCCCCCTCCTCTTACCACAGTAATTGGTCCAGGGATGGGTATGTGTCCTAATTCATCAAATCAGAATGAGGCCCCTGGCTTTGGAAGGGAGGCAAGAAACTTTCTTTGTCTCTAGCTGGTTTGATGTTTGGATGTGGAAGTCAGGGTCATGCTGGTCATTTTGGTAGCTTATGGGGAAGAGCTGAGAGCTGAACATGGCCCAGACAAATGGTGCTAACGCCCTGATCTAGCCATACCTGCAGCTCACCCTACACCTTGACTTTTCAGTGACATGAGAGAATAAATCCCCTTTATTGTGTAAAGCAGATTACCTGTAACTTGAAGCAACATGACTGACCCAGAGAGGTCACAGTTGCTTCTGCCTCTGGGCTTCTGCCCAGACTATCCCCACTGTCCAGAAAATCCACCCCACACTGCTTGGCTCTTACTCATTCTTCAGAGCTTAGCTGGCGCTGACTCCTGGAGGAAGGCCTGCCCACTCCTCGCACCAGGAGGGGCCTCTCCTGGCTCCCGCAGTGCCCTGGCTCGACACTGCCTGTGCTGTTTACTCACTCATCTGTCTCCTCCCTGGGCTGGGAGCTCTGTGAGGATAGAAACTCAGCCTCACTCATTGCTAGGGCCCCATCCCCTGGCACATACGTGGCATGAAGGGACGCAGAAGGGAACGAAGGGAAAGGCAAGGGCCAACGATTCAGAGGAGAGATCTGAGCAAGAAAGCACAGACTAAGAGTTGGAAGATTCTGATCCTCACCAGGCTGTATCACCCACTTGCTGTGCGACTGTGAACAAGTTACCCACCCTCTCTGAACCATTCCTTCAACTGGAAAATGGGGCTGAAAAATAACACAGATTCTGTTCACTTCTGGGGGCCATCAACCGAGCAAGGTGTGTCCATTCCTTCGATATTACTCATTACCCATTTGCTGGGGCCTCTGTTTGCCAGGTTCTGTGCTAGGTGGCTGGGATACAGCACGAAAGATTCACGGGCGGGAGCTTCCCAGACACCTACAAGGCCCTGGTGCCTTTGGGAGAAAGGAGGCTGGTCTGCCCAGATCAGCGTGGAAAGGAGCAGGTTATGGGATCAGAGAGGAGCAGGCACGTACGTGGGTGGGGTGGAGAGCTGGGGGCTGTGGAAGCCACTATGAAGACTAAGTTTTCTCTGAGTGACAAGGAGACCAGCTGGAGGGTCTGAGCAGAGGAGTGACACGGTCCCACTACATTTTCTTTGCAATGAGCAGGGACCTTGATGTCCTTCTGACTCTGTACCCTGATGCCAAGGGCAGACAAGGTCACTCCAATAGGTGACTGTTGAGCTGCTGGGATCAAAGAAAGTTCTGAACTGAGGTTTAGGCGCCCTGCCACGTCCTGGCTCCCTGAGAGCGGCGGGAATGTTCTAAGCTGATGCTGGGGGTGGGGTGAGAGTTGGGACAGAGGGCGAGGCTGAGCGGCAGGAGCGAGGTGGCGGTGACACACTCCTCCCGTCCATCTGGCACGTCTGGGAGCGACACCTCCAGGGCCAGCGTGCTCGGTGGGAATCCCACCTACCCCGAGGGGCTCCTGGGCTGTATCAATTAGCACTTTGGAAAGCCCTGGAAAAAACTGAATGGAAAAGCAAAAAGCCTCCTCCACCACTTCCCCAGCTGCGGGGAAGAAAGGAGGAACGCGTGACTTCCCCATACGCTGTGAGCGATGCAGCCGGGAAAACGTGGGGACGCAATGGAACCCAGGCCGAGGCGCCACGGGTCAGATATCTTTGTGTGCGAAGAGTGCGGTGAGGGAGGCCGGCCACGTCTCCCCAAAGCAAAGAGGAGAGGAGACGGAGGCGAGGGGACAAGGCTCCCGGTCCCGTCTGCAGAGTGGCCGGCATCTCACGGCCACACGCTGGAACCCTGGAGGAGGCACGGAGACCGTGTGTGTGACAGCCTGGCGGGGTCACCAGCACACGGTTGACACATGTCAGGGCCCTGGCAAGGCCTCAGAAAGTAAGGATTTCCCTACGGAGGGTCCCTAATGAAGACACACTCCCTCGGCAATAGGAAGATGGTGTCGATCACCAGCCGCAGAGACAAGAATTGTTTCCGATGCCTGGAAAAGCAAATGAACGAACAGGATGGGTTTTTGAACATTTTGTTGATGCCTGCTGACTGCACGGTAGTTATTGCACGGCTGGGATGTGCTCCGAGCTCTGTGCATAGCCTCCCGCGCTGTGGTGGTTGGTGAAATGACTGAGTCCTGCAGGTTGGTGGCAATGTTAGCACTTCTAATAAAGAGCTGCTGCAATGTCCTCCACGTGACCCTCACATCAACTGAGCGAAATGCATGATCATGCCTCTTCCCCTGAAATGGGAAACTGAGGTTCAGAGAAGGCAAGTGACTTGTCCACAGTCACACAGCAAGATGGTGGCAAAGACAACAGTCCAACTGAGGCTTCTGCCTCCTGCTCCTTGGACGTTGCCAGGGCTAATCGTTCTATGTCATTGATACCTGCACCCATCTTCATTATTTCCTTTCTTGTCATTTCTCTGTGTTTGAAAACCTGCCGTCTTTCCAACCTCTTGAGCTGGGTATACCGTGTCCATCCTCTCTTCTGCCGTGTCTAATCTGTTCGAAGAATATAGTCCGTTCTTCATTTCCGTTATTCTATTTTTCAGTTCTAGAGTTTCCATCTGAGTACTTTTTCTATAAGTTCTAGTTTTCTGGTGAAATTCTCCATCTTGTCGTCTCTCTTCCTGCAGTTATTCATCACCCTTATTTTAAAGGCTACGTCCATACTTTGTGACATTTGGACAACATGTGGGTCTGCTTCTGCTGTCTATTTTCTCTCTGTCTCTCTGGGGTCATCTGGTCCTGCCTCCTGGCACGCCTGGTACCCGCAGACACGGCGCGCCCCTGCCGTGCGTGGGGGAGGCTGTCCTTACTCAGAAAGCAACTTTCCTTCTCCTGGGGGCAGGCAGAGCAGGGCACATACCCTGTTCCAGCTGGCGATGGGGATGCTTGGCGCTGCCCTTCCGTTTGCATGACGACTCGTTATTTCCGGTTTGCCCTTCCTCATAGGGCAGAGCCCTTCACGTCCCATAGCCGGGATGCCGCCCACGGCGCCTCTTCCTGTCGGCTCTCATCCCCAGTTTCTGTCTCCCTGCCCTGGTGAGATGGCCAAACGCTCGGTCCAGCCATTCAGCCTCTCGCTGCTGTTTCCAGCTCAGGCTCCCAGGCTCTGGTGCCCGGCAACTTCTCCACTGGAGATGCCTTGAGAGGACAATGGGGCACAGGGCGACTCTCTTCCCTGTGGTTCCCTTTGCCCTAGGGTCTTGGCTGACTCGGTGGTCCTGAAATCTATTTTTTATTACTTTATTTGTTTTGTGCTCCACCATTGTGAGACTGCCCGGCACAAGGACCTGCTGCTCTCAGTGTGCC